GGAGATTTAAACCCTTGACCGCTCTAAGGCCTTCTGTGCAGCCATTGGCCGGCCTGAAGCGGAAAAGGCGGGATTTCCTCTTGTCCTCTTCATACGATTCGAAACGCTCCCGCAGCCGTGCGTCGTTAACCTACTTCCGGTTCGGCGTTATAGTTATATGGGGAGAGTCAGGCGGCTGGGGGTGGTTTATTTTCGACAGGGCCCCGTTGCTGTGGCAACACGGCGCGCGCGGGGAGGAAACTTGGCGGTTATTATTAGGGCTGGTTATGAGGCTGCCTTCACTTTAGACATCAGGCTCTTCCTTGAGAGAGGAAGGTGGCCAGAGGTCCTCCTTTTCCAGGACATGTCCTATATTTCCACCTTCTGTCCAAGAAAAAAAATTCAAAAATGTCCTCCATTTTTAAAAATTATTTTTATTCAGTTATTTTGTTATTAAATGTCCTCCATTTTGAGCATGACAAAGAAAGCCTCAATTTACATTCCTACGAGTGGGGGATTTTTTTAGCTTTTGTTGTTGAGTACCCTCCGTTTTTCTTGAAGGGCCTATATTTTTGTTTTAAAAATTTATCTTACTTATTTACTGTATTTATACCCCACTCTTCAGCCAGAAAGGCTCTCAGAGTTGCTTACAGATAGTTAATTAGACAGTTCCCTTCCCTTAGGCTTAAAGTCTAAAAAGACTTGACACAAAAGAAGGAAATGACAGGGGGAATAAATTAATAATAAATAAATACTATAAATTCTTTATTCATAAGCATATCTCCATATTTATACACTTATGAGTTTTCATATATCTTTAAAAACATACCAGTCATACAAGAAAAAGAACAAGACAAATATGCACTCTATCAATGCATGTAGGTGATTAACTGGGGTTCCCTCCCCCCATTCATATTTGCTTAATTAATGATACTACAACTATTCTTTCTTTTTCTTTCTTTTTCCTTTTCTAAATACTTAGAAGAAAGCTAAACCAGAATGAATATCCTACGTTTTGTGGTGCCTTGTCGTCCTTTCAGGGTTAGGACATCTGGTCACCCTGTGAGACAGCCAGTGTGGTGAAGTGGTTTGAGCATTTAGACTAGGATCCTGGAGACCAGGGTTCAAATCCCAGCTCAGCCATATAAAACCACTACTGGGTGACCATGGGCAAGTCACACTCTCTCAGACTCAGAGGATAGCAGTGGCAAACCCACTCTGAAGAAACTTGCCAAGAAAACCCCGATATAGGGTCTCCATAAGTTGGAAACAAAGTTTCACAACTATAACAATTACGGTAGGTTTCCTTCACTTTCCATGTCAGGCTCTTTATTGAGGTGTTTATCTTATCCCTCTCTATACACCATGTGGTAATATATACGTACACTCATCCCTCCACATTTGCTGGGGTTAGGGGCACAGGTCTCCTGTGAATGTGGAAAAATTGCAAATAACAAAAACACTGTTTTTACCTGAGAGGACACCTCTCTATCGACGTCCTCCAGTGCAACTCTGTGGTCAACATCTGCCAGACATTAACCACAGAGTTGCACTGGAGGAGCTACAAATGCCTAGTGGAGTGTTCTCTCTAGGAATCTCTAGCTCTTTCAGTGAGACTTTTTGTTAAAGTTGACCATAGAGTTGTGCTGGAGGGCTTAGATATTCCTAGAGATAACATATTAATAAAATCAGTGTATAATCAAAGCCGCAAAAGCCAAAGACGCAAATGTGGAGGGATAAGTATGGTTCTTTCCCCCATTTGAGCCATACAAGAGCTTTGTGAAGTAGGCTTGGATGGAAAAGGGCATGATTGGGCTAAGGTCAGGCTCTCAATATTGTCATTGAGGGCCATATTAGATGGGTTGGTGAGCCATGTGTGTGAGTCATGTTCTCTTACAAGTTGAGTCTCCCTTATCCAAAATGCTTGGGACCAGAAGTGTTTTGGATGTATGAGGGGTGCAAGCCGCACCTAGTGACATCCTAAAGCAGTAATTCCCAAACTTTGGTCTTCAGTTTTGGTCTTCACTCCCAGAATTCCTGATTATTGATGAAGCTAACAGGGGCTTCTGGGAGCTAAACTCCAAAAACAACTGGAGGACCAAAATTTGGGAACCAGTGCCCTAAAACAAGGGATGACGCCATTTCTCTCCAAACAGTGTGACCAGATGTCCTAGCCACAAAGGAGGATATAGCACCAGAAAAGGAGGGTATGACACTCAATACAAATGTAGGACATCCCAAAAGAATAGTTAAAAGCACGCATAGAAATGTGCATTCATGCTTCTTAGTCATGCTCAAAATGTAGGACTTTCTTATGGTGCCTTCGGGCACTGTAAGTCAGAAATGACTTGGAGGCACAACACAAGACACATATACCTTATACACATAGCCTAAAGGTAATTTTATATATAATATTTTAATAATTTTATTCATGAAACAAAGCTTGTGTACTCTAAACCATCAGAAAGCAAAGGCCTCACTATCTCAGCCATATGTGGGTAATTTTGGATTTTGGAGTATTTCAGAATTCCAGATGAGTGAGACTCAATGTGTATGACAATATCTCTGCATGGTTGAGTGATGCCCAGGTGCACCGCCAGGAATTCTAGAGACAGCAGAAGCTCTACATAGGAGCTTATGAAACTTGGAAGGGCTTTTAGATTGGAGAACAGCCCCCAGTTTGTTGTTGTGTCCCTTCCAGTAATTTCTGACTCACAAGGACTCTAAAATGACCCCATCATGGGGGTTTCTTGGCAAGGCTTGTTCAGACAGGCTTGTTTGCCTTCCTCTGAGGCTGTGAGAATGTAACTTGCAGAAAGTCACCCGGCAGGTTTCTATGGCTGAGCAGGGATTCAAACCCTGCTGTCTAAAGTTGGAATCCAACATCCAAACCACTACACCACACTGGCTCTAGTACTTGCTGTTAAGTCAGAAGGTGTGAAAATGAGTGTAGCAGGTTAGCAAACAGAACCTAGAGTTGAAAATTAGGAAGTGTGGGGTTGCATGTGTATTCTTGAACACAAAAGTTGAGTTTTAGTGTATTTTGTCCATAGAATTGTCTATCCTTACATTTTAAGCTAATACTATATAGACAAAGATGTAGAGCTTGGAAATTTTGTTTTATTCCAGTTTCCAGGGCAGCTAGGAGTTTAATTCCAATTAATTTATTTTCCAAACTCTGAAGGATGTTTGGAAAGCCACAAGCAGGGCCAGACCTCCTGCATTTGCCCTTGCTTGCTGGACTACAATTTGTACCAGCATAGCCAATGGTGTGGAATGATAGCTGCACTCTAGCAACATCCTGCGGACCACAAATTGCCTACTCCTGCCTTACATCTTGTTCCTTGGTATGGGAAGTAATAGTAGTACAGTGGGCACTTTATATATGCGGGGGATCCGTTCTGGACCGCCACCCCCCCGTAAGGCAAAAAATGAGAGACTTCAACTCCCATTTGTTTCAATGGCTGCGCTCTCCTACATGTGCTATTGTAATTTCTGATGCTTGCTATACAGGTAAACTTGAAGCAGTGTTTGGTGCGCCTGTGTATGGCGCGGGCACACTGTAGTAATAATAACTTTTATTTCTTTCCTACCTCTCCTCAAGGCTGGGTGCAGCATGTTGAAATACAAAAGACATTTAATAACTCATTAAAAGGTAAAGGTATTCCCTTTTGACAAGGTTGTCCAGCTGTGTCCAACTGTAATGGGTGGTGCTCATCTCCATTATTAAGCAGAAGAGCCAGTGTTGTCAAAGACAACTCCATGGTTGTGTGGCCAGCATGACTGTTACCTTCCCACTGAAGTGGTACCTATTTACGGTATCTACTTGCACTTTTACATGCTTTCGAATTGCTAGGTTGGCAGAAGGTAAGACTAGTGATGGGGGCTCAATTTGTCACACGGTGCTTTGGCCTCAAACTGCCGACCTGCCGATCTTGCAATCATCAGAGTCAGTGTCTTAACCACGGACGCTGAGCCACTGCATCCCTTAAAAACTCATTAAAAACTCAAACCCAAAGTTAAAACAACAATATAAAACCATCAAAATACATTCATAAGGGCTCATATACAAATTAAAATTCATGATTTAAAATTGATTGGGTAGGTCTGCCCGAGGAGATATGTCTTTAATACTGTTTAAATGGAGTCTGCAGTTTCAGCTGTCATATCTCTTCCAGCAGGTCATTCCACAGCTGGAGCAGCAGATGAAAAGGTCCTCTTGGAAACCATTGCCAGTCTAGTCTTGGCCAGTTGGAGCAAACATTTCCCAGAGGACCTGAGTATACAGGGTGGATTGTGTGGGAGAAGGCAACCCTGTAGGTAACCTGGCCCCAAATCATGTAGGGCTTTAAAAGTAGTAACAATACTTTTTACTTTGCCTGGAAACTAATTGGCTGCCAGTGGAGTGCTTTTAAGATCGGTGTAATTTGATCACTGTACCCATAATCAGTCTGGGTGCCATATCCTGAACCAGCTGGCGCTGGTGGACCTGGTACAAAGGTAACCCAATGTACTAGCCTCCCATGCCAGGGTGTCACCGGGAGCGTGGTGGTGGTGGGGCTTTGGGGGCAGAGCCAAAAGAGGCCCCTCTCTCACTGCTCTGCACCTGCTCTGCATAGCTTTACTCTAGAGTAAAGCTGTGCAGAGCAGGGACGGGGGCGCCAGGCCCACTCCCTCCCTGCCATGTGTGGCTTTACTCTAGAGTTAAGACATGCAGAGCAAGGACAGGGGGCATTGTGTCACCTGGTGTGGTCCACACACCCCACACTCCTCTAATGACACTACTGGCCTAATGTATAGCACATTCCAGAGGTCTACTCTTGAGGTTACCAGCATGTGCACTACCATCTTTAGGACCTCCAATTCTAGGAAGGGGTGCAGTTGGTGTATAAGCCAAAGCTGATAAACAAAACTCCTGACCATTGCATCTATCTGAGCTGATATTAGGAGGGATGAATCCAGGAGCAAACACTCGCTTTCAGGGATATTGTGACCCCATCCAGAACTGGTTGACACACCTCCAGCCCCAGATTAGGATTCTTGATAGTAAGCACCTCTGTCTTGTCTAGATTCAACTTGTTTTTTTATATCTGGTCTAGCAGACATATACACACCACAAAGAAACACAAACTCACACATATGACCATTTGTGATGCTATACACTTGACATCCTCTCTGAATTGTACAGGGAAAAAAAATATCTTTGAGTTTGCACATGTGATAAAACATTTTTTTTCAACTCATGCATATAGAATCTATGTGTTAGATGTTTCTACTTGCAACATCAGTACTTTACTGTTACTTTACTTGTAGCTTCTGTTTGTTATTAGTATATTACATAAGCACTTGATGATTTCACTGTTGGTTTCAATTTTTTTTATCCCTGCATAGCAGTAGTGCCTTTCAGGTACCAGTTGAATCTCCCTTATCTGAAATGTTTGGGACCAGAAGTGTTTGAGATTTCAGATTTTAGAATATTTCCATATACATGAGATATCTTGGAGATGGAACCCAAGTCTAAACATTAAATTAATTTATGTTTCATATACACCTTTTACACATAGCCTGAAGGTAATTTTAAACATAATATTTTAAATAATTTTGTGCATGAAACAAAAGGCCTTTGCAGACTG